AAAAATGCTCATTACAGAACTGCTATAACAAAAAAACTCATTGTTTATCTTCCCACTCTTAATTTCAAGAAACAGCACACAGTTTCTAAGTCCTAAGTATTCTTTCACTGCTTAATGAAATATTTTTAAGCAATACACAAGGGTGTAATACTTCAGTTGGCAGTTCTTACATAATTGATTGAAGTTGTTGTTTTTTTAAAAAAACTTCCCGCTCCAGAAATTAAATGCAATAAGAACAAATTATAGGTTTTTTTTATCACTATGGGACACATTTTTAATAAGAAGAAAAAGACTATTATTCCACCCAAGCACATCCTTAATACGCTACCTAGAACAGTTACATTTGCAATACCATGGATCCTGTTAGGGAGCAATTACTTTGAATCCACACATACCAACTCAGATGAATACATTATATGGTGGCACAGCAACTTCATTTGAATATCATTGCTCTTAAACAGGCAAGAGTTACCGTAGTGAATGAATTATTCAATGGATAAATTCAATAACACACCTTCTATCCTATGCAAATAATTCCACAGTATTGCTATGAGTGAGAAAACACTGAAACAAAGTTTCAGTGCAGATATTCAGATGCATTATTCATCTTTGCTTCCGCTTTTTACCGCTCTCTGTGGGTCCCTGTTTTTGTACATCGTTTTGTTTTCTGCAACCCATTAATTTTTCCATATTGGTAGGACTATGTTTTCTTCATATGAATTTTAACTTAATCATATATTAGTCTAGGGACTGGTCCACCATGCAACATTAATTTAAAAGGCATTCAAATATGGAACCATTATGGGTTTTCATAGTCAGAAATGTGAGATCCAATTCTTCCTTCTCTTCGCAGAAGAAATATAAAATGGTGTCTAAAATTTGTGAGCAAATATCCTGAGCAAGCAAATCAGAATATTCCCAACTAGCTAGTGTTAAGGGACATAAGGGATCAGCCAAACCAGCCAATATACCACAAGAATGACATGGAATAACCTTCTAGACAGAAAATTAACTGTCTAAACTTAAGCAAATGTTGCTAAAAGAAGATGAAAGTAGATTGGTTGAGTTCAATGAACAGTGAATTGAGTTTCACTGGGAACAGTGAAGCATCCTTGCCTCTATTCTCCAACCCATTGTTTGTGGACCCAGAAAAAAACATACTTTGTCTAAAGGAAGGATGCACAGAACTAATCCTAAGCGTGGGAAGAGATTGTAGAGATCAAGTGTCACTCTTTACACAAATGAAAACTCTTTGGGATTCTTGATGATTCTTGCTTTATGCTCCAAATCTGGTCAAAATATGATGTTGTCTCTCATTTTTGAGCACAGGATTATAACTTTAAAAGCCTGAAAAGCCATTGTATTTCTGACCCGGGATGCTTGAAGCACAGAGAAAATGTAGTTTTCAGAGAACAGGGTGAAAGCAGCGTTTCAGAGACAGAACATTGGGAAGAAAAACCTACTTGCCTTTCAGGGCTGTTGAAATGAAAATGCAAAACAAAACAAGGAGCTTGATGATACAATCAAAATTGCTTTTATCCATAGCAACCTGCATCTTCAGATGTGATTTAAACAGAGGGGATACTGCTAGAAATGGCAAGCATATATAACATGATGTCTTAAGATAAAACTGTTAAATAGGATTCATGGAAGAGGTGTACACATTGAAAAATATATGTATTAGTAGCAGTAATTTCTTCCCCTTGTATTAAAATCAGCAATATTTAAAAAGCAAATTTGATAATACCAAGTTTCAAATATTTTTCAAATTTCTGAGAGCTCTAGAATTGATCATTCCATAATTAAAGCTCAAAAAATCTGGTCAATATTGAATCAAAAACATTTGTCCATTAAGTATGACTTCAACATACACATTCTTTCTAACCAGAGGTATAATATGAAACTGTCCAATGAATGATAATGGTATAGCAATTTTCAAATACAGGGGGGAAAAAATCCCCATATTCTGTTGTCCTAAATGTTAACTTCCAAAGTTTTTTTTTCTCTTTTAGCTATTTTAACTATTAGGAAAATGTAAAAAAAATAATAATTGCAAGCAAATGTTGCTAAAAGATTTCCCACAGCTTACTACTGTGGGAAAATGTCAGATATTTCCCTCAACAATTCCCAAAACATTTATAGGTGGAAAAAAGTTATATTGATTGACAATGAGCTCAGCCTAAACTACCTTGCCAAGAAATGTTGTAGAATAGTATCAAATTGCCCCTAAGATTTGTGTATCCTAGGTTCATAAATGCATGGTATTCATCTTAAATCATTCCCTGAGGCAAGTAATATTTTCCTTTCTTTCTCCTAAAACATAAATTAGCTGCAAATTAATCAGGCTAACAAAGGAATATGAAAAGTTAGGCTAGCATGGGGATAATACAGTATATGTGTAATCAAATCACAGACCAATATCTGTATGGTAGTTTAGAAATGCTTCCCTCATTGACCTAACTACAGTGGGATAAAGGGAAAATGAGCATTCTTTTCAACTACCTGAAAGAGTTTCTAAGAGAAGTTTACTTTTACATTCTCTAAATCTAATATTTATTTAATGAGTTATTGATCGTGTTTGAGAGAAAATATAATCTAGCATACCACTGGACACTCTCTCAAATTGTAAAATATTCTCCTGTGAAATTCCTAATTCTGAGGTAGATACCTTTAAAATTAAATTCAAAAATACCGGAGCTCTATGCAGTAGCTTCTTTTACAACTTTCTGTCACTTTCCAGAGATCCAATATCTAACCGTCCTATAAATATTTAAAGAGTATACATGGCTGTTCAAACTGAACAACACAACTCTAGGCAGCTTATAAGAAAAAATATACTGTATGATTTATAGGGCAATACTTTAAAAAAATATGTGCTCGCATGAAGGTTTGAAAGAATGATATAGACACCACCTCCCCTTGAAATAGCTTTATAGAGCAGGGGTCCCCAAATTTGAAGCCTGGGAGTTGAAGTCCATAAGTCTTGAAGTTGCCAAGTTTGGAGACTCCTGTCATAGTGCAATATGGCCTTTCTCAGCCTTCTCTTACAAAGTTCATGTTGCAGGAGAAAGGCTAACCCTTCTCCCAGACTGCTTTCCCAATTGTCCCAAAGCTCACTATCCTAGGATTGCTTATAAAGCCCTAAAGGCAAACTGCTGGAAGCATGTTCAGTATTTTTTCTTTTTTTGCTACACAATACATAATTAAACTTTAGAATCTGCTTGTACAAGAACTGGGCCTGGCTACCAGCTGGGCTGTCTTCAAGAAAAGAGTTGGACAATTCATGGAAGACATGAGGATCAATGAACGTTAGCTTTGATGACAGTGTGACAGCTTCTGAAGACCATCTCCTGGGCGACTTGTGGGCTTCCTTGTGCAGTTCGGTAGCCGTGGTGAGGACAGATTTCTGAACAAATCGATCAGGGGGCTCAATCAAACAGGGCACTATTTATGTTCTTAAGTGCTAAAGGTTTTCAGCTGGGTACTCTTGGTTTGCAAAACAAAGAAAAATAAGTTACAATAAGGCACACATATTTGTGACAACAGCTGATCTTTTGAATTATTTGTCTTCTTGTCAACAGACTTCTCATTAAGATTTTGATCTAGAAATTCAGTGCAAAATGGTGGCTCAAACTACTTCCTGTTCAAAATAACAATCTTAACAGTCTCAAGTGAAATGTAATTTTGAGTTTCATTTTTCCACAATTATAGCCCAACTGTATTGTGGCTAAAGTAAAGGTGGTTTTTGAGGAGAATAAAATATGGAGATGTGCAAATGTCTTTCAAGTTCTCATAATCTAGACAGGGTAGATTTCGTCCCTAATTTGCCATCGATAATATATGCCCTGAGTCACTTGGATTTGGTGGCATATTTATTTAATATATTATTATTATTATGGTTAATCTTTGGTGAGATTCACAGCCTTTGGGGCTGGCTGGTAGCTCAACAACTCAAGTCCTAACCAAGGACCTAGGAACTGTTCAGGTAGCGTCAGAAGATATAAGCTGTTCCAAGTAGGGTGGCTTTTTGTAGCATCAGGGTATTCAAGTCTAATAAATTCAGAATTTCTTTCTTGCTGCTTGTCTTCAATTTGTGCATCACTAGGTATTGCAATGTCAATGAACCAACCCTTTTTCTTTTCAACTATTGTTATATCAGGTGTGTTGTGGGCCAAGTGCCTGACAGTCTGAATTCTGAAGTCCCACAAGATCTTGACTTTTCATTTTCCAGAACCTTCTCAACCTGATGTTCCCAATAGTTGTTACTATACTCAAATCCAAACTTTTGGCACAGTTTCCAGTGAATGATTTTAGCAACTCGGTTATGGTGTTCTAGATTGTCAGTTTGTGAAATTTTGCTGCACTCACTGATTAAATTGTCAACTGTTGTTGTTATATATTATTACTACTACTACTACTATTATTATTATTACTACTACTACTATTATTATTATTATTATTATTATTATTATTATTATTATTATTATTATTATTATTATTAATTGGTGGTGGTTCACTTATTATTATTAATTGTACATTTAAGATCAGATTTCCTTACATATCTTTTACTTGGGACTTCAAATAGGCCACAGAAAAGAATAGCAAAGTTAGCAAATAGCTAACTTCATAATTTTGTGCTTAAAAATAAATATGGTAACATGGAAAGTTAATTTGTGTGCCTCTGCTGATATGAAACAGCTCTAAGCACAAACTTTGTTGTTTGACTTTACACAGTATACATAATACTGTTTCTTTTTTTCTTAAAGTGTTCTTCTAATTACATAAGGATATCAATTAGCACAAAAGTATTTGCAAACAAGCAAAACACTTTCAGTAAGGAAATGGAAAAAAATATTCAAAACAGCAAAATACCACGAAATATTTAGAGAACCATGATCAATAATTGTTTTGCATAATTCAGGAATAATAATTATTCCCATAAATACGAATACCTACTTAATGCCCCTGAAAAGGAATAATGTATCAGACAGAAAACCATGTTTGGAAAAAAATTAATATTATTCAACATGTTTGACTTAAATATTTCCACATAACAAAAGTGTTATTTTCAAGTCACCAGCTATATTACTTATATACATATGTCCAGAGTTAACAAAAGAATTATGAGATGTCCTATCAAAAACAGTGATTTTTCCTTTTTTTTGGAAATAGAAAGTACTAGTCTTATAATACACAAAATATAAATTATATGTACAGATAGTTTTTTTTTCTGGAACTGAGAAACAAATTAAAAGCAATAATATTTTCATAAAGATATAACATGTCTACATTGCATTAAAATGAATCAATACTGATTTTGAAATGTTCATCTAAAGTAGAAAACTTTATGAACACTTCTTGAAACAGGAATTATTTACAAAATATACTCATCAGCCACACAGAGGCTTAAATATCTGTATATATACACACATACATATATATAACATATAAAGAAATTTTAAAATCTCAACGTAAAATTAAGCAAGATTCTTCTGTCTTTGGAATGTCTAAAACAGAACTTATGCTTTATTTCCAATGTGGGTCTTTTTGATATGATTATACCTCTTTCGAATGAATGGAACCTTTCAGAGTAATACTGAAAAAGCCTAGGTAGTCTTTAAAAATTTTATAACCTTCAAGACAAATTGATGACAATATTAACAAGGACTTCTAATCCGAAGTTATCTTTCAGAATGACTGTGCTGTAACTTAATCTGCAGCTAATTTGATCTTCTTAAGGAATATACTGTTCTTATAAGTCCTACCATCTTGAATATATGGCTTATTTTTTATAGTTACTCAGCAAAAGTTTCTCTGCTGAAAGATCCACATGAAAATATATGCGTTCATCATTTACTTCATGGAATCGCAGTTGTTGTTCCTTTGAATTATTGCTGAGTTTAAAGGGAAGAAATAATAGCACTCATCAAATGAAATGAATACAAGCTATCATCCTGGCATATCTGCCAACACCAATTAAAGGTCTAAAACAGCCTTAGATCATGTACCATCTGCACTGGAGCATGCATCATCTACGGCACCCATATGATTTTGTTTCAAATACTCAAGACATTCCTCATGATTGACAGAACATCCAAGAAGGCCTATTTCACTGATTTCAAGGTCTGGGTGTATTTCCATTTTAGAGAATACACTTATGGTGGAATGAAAAGATAAACAAGTTCCATCTACCTGAGATCACTGATTGTAGACAATACAGCAAAGTTTGTCTGATGTTTCTTAAATATTCTATATGTTTACAAAAGACAGGTAATTTATTCGGTGTTTCATAATATTTAAAAAGCTATATCATCCTTATTATTTGCAATGCGCTTTAATAGTAAAAATCCACAGATGACTATTTTTAGAAAAAGGGGGAAAAATCTAGTCCTGAAAGCGTTCGCAGCTTTCATCTTATAGTCATCAAAAAATATTGGTTATGCTCTGCCATTCATTTGAAGATTCTTGAACAACTTCTTCCAAATTCAGGGCACGATTAATGTCTTCGCCTTCCTGTCCTTGATGACTGGTCGATTCTTGCATTGCACCTATCATAGTAAAAAGATAAAGAATAGTAAGAGAAATAAATAAATAGGGAAAGAAAGAAAGAAAGAAAGAAAGAAAGAAAGAAAGAAAGAAAGAA